CAACGGTTTCAAAAAAAAGGAATAAAAGAAATTAGAATAAACATTTTTTTAACGTATGATTTTCTTTAGAAATTCGCTTGTAATTCCTAATTTGACCTTTTTGTTTGTTTGGTTAACAAATTTTGAATTATAAATAATAATAATAATAAAAAGAACCAATTTTGAAAATCCAACAAAAAATACATAAATTTTGGTTTAATTTATTTTTATATTTGAACACTCCAGCAAATCCCCATACCTTTTAAACCTCTGCTATTTTCCTTTGTGAACTCTTCATCGCTTTGTTTTTTGTACTTTTGTACTTTTGTTTCCTTTTCATGGTATTGGTTTTTCTTGGGTTTTAGTATATAGTCTGTATGTATGTTTATTTGTAGTAAAAGTAGTAGTGCTAACTTGGTTTACTTGCTTAATTAAATTTGCATGTTGTACATAGTTTACATGTATGTTTGTATGTAACATTGCTTTTATGTCTATGTATGTATGTCCAGTCTCAATACGCTTCTCACTGTTTTTGCTATGTCTTTACATGTATGAGTTGTACAGTATGCGGGGGTCGCACTTAGTAATCGCTATTATCAAGTTATCAGGATAAATATGCCTCGAAAGGGAAAGTCATTTTGTCTCATTTTGTCATCAGGGAGAATATCAAATCCTCAAAGTTGAGAATAACTGTTGGATGATATAAATAATTGGCCATGCCCAGAGTACGAAAATAAGNCATTTGTTCATCGATCATCATATCATTTGTGGTTTTGTACAGTTTTGTACATAGTCAGAAACAAATTGTAAGATTCACTGTCATTTTCCCCAACGAGAAACGTTTGTTTTTCGTTTGTGACAATTGTATCATAGAACACGTTTTATATGCATGCAAACGTTTCAATTACGTGAAAAATATTTTTTTCTTTAAATTTTCATATCCAATTCAATTAAAAAACATTTTTATTTTTTTTATTCATCGCAGCCATTCGTTTTGTGTTTAGTTGTTGCATATTTCGTTTGTTGTTTCGTCTGTGTAACTACTAAACTACTGTAGTGTACTATAGCCAAAGTGAACTCAGCCGTTTTGTTTTCGTATTGTACCGAACTTATGAAGCAATAAACGAAACGAAATAGTAACGTACAATATAGTTTATTTTCGTACCCTGGCCATGGCCATGCCTATCAGCTCTAAAAAGTTGATAACCATTTACATGTAGGATATTATTGTTGTGGTACGAGTAAAACCACGTTTCGGATTTGCACACAACATGAATATCCGATTTTTCGAAGAGATATCTAAATTCGACGTGTTTTTTCAACAAACTTTGCGCATTCAAATCTACCATCTTAAAGAGTGTAGCACGCTTGCTAATAATACGCAACATGCTCTATAAACAGTCTTTGGGACGTCTAAGGGCGATATTATAAAAGTTGTGTAAATGAATTGTGGCAATGCATCTTGGTTCTAAAAAGTTAAGCAATGAAAGAAACCCGTAACCTTTGCAAGATTTGTGTACATCATGAAAAACACGAAGACAATATTTAAAAATATAAAATACAAATCGTCGATGTTTTTGCAAAACCGCCTAAATCGCCGTTGTGGCGAAAATGAGATTTGCATCGAGATTTATGCATAAAAATCGTTAAATCGTTATTAAAAAACAAATTTGTAAAATAAAAGCTAGAGAAAATACCGCCCTATGCTGAATATCGTCATCGTCATCGTCGACGATCGTCAGCGCAGCAGTAACATGGCTGACGATGGCCGTATCGTCGCTTTTACTGACCATGGCGATATTCAACATAGGGCGGAATGACTTCAAAGAATAAACCTTTTTTTCGCTCTCTTGTAAAATTTGAGTGCCGTAAGATAGGCGGTTTTGCAATTGGACGATGGGCAGTTTTGCAAAAACATCGACGAAATTAGTTAATAACAGCATATACTTTTCATATTCGAGTTGAAGTTTGTCGCGTTGATATGCTGCTATGTTCTTCGGCTTTGGTGTCACGAAAGGAATGTTCCATTACTGCGGCAGGACTGGTGTTTTCTAGATTGCAAACACATTACATTTATGCTCAAAACATCCAGAAACTGTTCGAAAGATTCCCTTTTGGAGGGACAGCTCGTTTGTATCACTTTTCGTATATGGTGTCATTTAGGTATGATATTTTGGTTGAAACAGCATAGACATTTCCCAAACAAGTTATGGGGAATACTGCTCGCGTAGCTGTCCTTGACCAGATCTAACTGTAGATCGCCAGACATAATTGTTGATCGTTCTGCTTATGTTCACTGTGACATTTATGCTAAGAAACTAAATAGTACTTTATTATTTGTTAGTAAGTCCCCGAAGCTAACTAAATCCTTTTTGATAGCCTTGAAGTATGCTATAAAATTTGCTCTGAAAAGCGATGCTTGAGCAAGAGAGTGCCTCGACTACGAGTTATGTGATAAGTCCGTACTCTTCTCAGTTCTGATTCGAATGGGTGTGGATGTTACAAGTGTCACATAACCTCAAGTAGTCCCCTTGATCCAATCGTTACATTTTTAGTTTCAAAATTGATAAATGAACGTTTGAAGGCTTTTGATTTTGAGAGTTGTTGTTGTAACAGGATAAAAATTCCCCAACGAGTTTTAGGGAAATGATGCTGGAGTGACAGTCATTAGGCAGGTATTAATCCGGGTCGTTGCGGTTACGTAGACCCGAACGCCGTGGGAACGGGCTTTTGGAAATGCTAATCTTTGGCTTCGTTATTTGAAATATTGAGCATTTCCTACCAGAATTCCGTTAGTATTCACGATAAACTGACTCAAAGGGTTTTTATTTTAACAAAAAAATATTTGAAATAAAAACCAAACCAAATAATTACATTTTTTCGGGCAGGAGCTTTTTGCTACTTCACGTTAAATTTAACCGAAAACATTGTTCTAACCTCGATTTGAAATACATAATTCCTTTATGAACATTTTTATTAACTCTGGTAACCCCAAAACCACGTTTCATTTTGGTTTGGCTTAGGAGCATTTCGACATTACAGAAATCATGGTCACATACAAACATAAACAGTACATGCCTCACTGACCATCCATCTATCGACGTTGTGTCTAACCTACTGATATATTTTCAAACGTATAAAAAAAGATATAAAATTTTTGCTTCGTTTAAAAAAGATTATTAAAAACTGTTACTTTTATTTTATTAAACGCACAAGTGACTAATTATAGCATATTTATTTCTCATCAGAATATAACAAATCTCATTAACTCTGCAATTTTCTTGTCTTCTCTTTTTTCATTTTTTACTATGGCTGCTACGTAACTCACCAAATTTAACAAAAAAAAAAATAAAAAATTAAATATATGTTTGCATTCAACAACATCTAACAACCAATCGATAAATCAACCAACCAACCAACAACAATCAATTCAATAAAACTAATCTAGGGTAATAATAAGAACATTTTGGTAAAGAAAGTTTTCATTTTAAAAGGCGGTAATAATACGTAATGATGAGCCAACGATATGATCAGCGGTAGTGGAGGAGGAGGAGGTGGCGGGGTAGGCGTCATAGGCGGGAGCAGTGGTAGTGGCGGCGGCGGCGGCGGCGGCGGCGGGAGCAACAACATTAGCGGCAGTGTGGTAAGCGCTACACGTCTCAGCCGCGCTCAGCAGCACCACCACCAACAACAGCAGCAGAGCAGCGGCTCGAGCGGCTTGGCCGCCATAGCTGCAGCTGCCACTGGCGCCCAACCGATCGCCACCAGCAGCGGTACACATCGCACACGCATACTGCGTGGCCATGCAGCACAAACAACCACCGGTGAGCGTGTGTTGCTTATCAACTATGTGTCGCCTAGCGCATCGGCTGCTACATCACCCAACACCCAGACGCACACGGTCAGCACAGTCGCGACGAGCGGTGGTGCTGGCACTACAACAACAACGCGCAAAATCCTCCATGCCAGAGCGGCGGCAGCGACGCACGCGAACGTCAGCACCGCCACACCCGTCTCGTTTGCTGGCCTCGGTTCTGAGGTGACGGTGACGCTGACGCGTTCTGGTAAATCGACCGCCGGTCATATTGTACGTAATCATAGTATTGCCACTGAGACGACAGAACAACAGCAACAGCAACAACAGCATCACCATCATGTGAGCAGCAGTTCGCCGCCGCCGCTGGTCTTCACGACGACGGCGCACAGCGATTTGCATCATCACCAGCAGCAACAGCAGCAGCACGAAATAGTTGAACAGCAAACACATCAGCACCATCAGTTGTTAACGCATCGGCAATTGCAGCAGCAGCAGCAGACAACAACGACGGTGCTGGATCCTTTAGATTTAGAAGATCAGGATGAATATCAGCAACAGCAACAACAACATCAGCAAATTATCATTGAGCATCACGGTGGCAGCGCGCAGACACAGCAGCAGCAGACGAATGAAGAAGAGATGCTTGAGTATGACGACGAAGAGGAGGTGGAAGAGCATCACTTGCAGCAATTGCAGGAGGTGCAGGAGCAGCAAGAATGCGATGGCGATCAAGTGGAGGAAGTGTATCTCAACTGAAAGCGGCGGCGTTGGGAGCTCAGAAGCTGCGGGGGCTGTCGCAGGGCGCAGTGAATGTTGCGGATGCTGACCGCTTAATTTGTAAAAATGTTTTTCATCAAAAATTTATAGCTCGAAAACTTCACAGAAGTTAAACCGCAGATCAGATCGTGAAATCAGTTGGGAAGTCATCAAAATTAATTGTAAATAGTTTAATGTTTTTTTGCAAATGTTTTACCTATAATAATACAACAAAAATTTTTAGCAAACATGATTTTCGTGTATACATAGTAATAAGCGGCGGCTTAATAGGTTTAGAATGAGCAACTCCAAGGCGCTCATTAACTGAAAATAAAATACAACCTTAAATAATTCGAATTCAGTTTCTGAATCTCAATTTTTGTATCAAAAGTGTGGTAAATAATAGAATTTTTTCAAAATATTGTTCTCCATTGAACATTTTCAGCAGTCTGTTTGTGGAAATAAAGTTTAATGGTGTATTTGTAACGAAGTAGGTAAAGTAGATTCAATTAAATTAAAAATCAGTAAGTATTAAAAATTTCGCAGCAGTAGAATTATAAAAAAAAATATATATATGTATATACATACATACATATTTTACGAAACATAAAAAAGCATATCTACTTTTAGAACTAAAACTGTTAGTGAAAAAATGGACATGCATAGTATTAAGTATGTAATAATGTATAGTAATTAAGTTATTGTTAATTAATAAGTGGATAGATAAGTTATTGTAGTAAAATTTCATACTTTCGAAAATAAAAAAAAGTCGGAACTATTCTTAAATATAAGCAGAAAATTAAATACATAATTTAAAATATACTGTGGCAATGTCTTTAATCTAGATGCATTTTTAGAAAAAAAAAATATCTAAAAACGAGCAATCCAAATATACACAATATTAGCTACAACTACAAAAATGGTTTAAACATATTTTTCAATGACCTTTAAGATACATTTAGTAGGTAGCTGTTATGTATAAGGCATTTGAAATATATATAATATATGTAAAAGCTATTAGAAAACAACAGAGGTAAAGTAAAACAAAATGAAATAAAAAAATAAATAAAGTAAAATATATAACAAATAAAATAAATAAATAAAATATATAATATATAAATGAATGTTTCATGAATAAAATAAAAAATAATTACTAATAAGTAAATAAATAAATACATAACTTAATTAATAAATAAAATAATAAGAATAAAATAAAATAATAAAAAAGTAAAAAAATAAATAAGGTAAAATAGTGAATTAATAAAAAAATAATACTTACCAAAATTAAACTGATATAACAATAATGAAAACTCTCAATTAAAGAGAAATATAAAAAGTAAATGAAATGAAATAAAAATGAAACATCAAGGCAAAAAATAAATGAATATAAAAAGAACAGAATGGTAAAATAAAAAACTAAAATTAAAAGAAATAAAATCAGACAAAATGAAATAATCTGAAATTAAATAAAACAGATAAAATAATTAAAAAAAAACAATAACAAAAAATAAAATATCAAAATATAAAAAACTGTGTACTATTAAAAAAAAAATAAAATAAATACATACAACGAAATAAAATAAAATGATATAAACTAAAGTAATGTAAAATAAATAATAGAAAACAAAAAACTTAAAACAAAATAATATTAATAATAAAATAAAATAAATAAATATAAAAAATAAAATAACTGAATATAAAAAATAAAATAAATGAATATAAAAAGAAAGAAAAAAATAAATAAAAAAGTCAAAAGAATATAATAAACTATAATTAAAACATACGAAAATAAAATACAAAAATTAAAGAAACACATACATACAATGAAATAAAATAAATGACAAACTAAAAAAAAATCATTGAGATTAAATAAAAAAATTAAAACGAAATAAAATAACATAATAAGAAAAATAAATAAGAAAAATAAATAGAATAAGAATAAAAAATAAATAATAATAAAAACATTCGAAAAAAAAATAATAAAAAAGAAATAAAACAAAATAAAACCAAATGAAATGTATAATAAAATTATACAATGAAGTAATATAAAAAAAATAAAACGATGAAATATAAAATAAAATTAAACAATGAAATACGTAATATAAAATAAAATAAAATTGTGAAATAATAAAAAACGGTAAAATAAAACAAATTTAAGTATAATAAAATAGAATTAAATACAAAAGTAGAACTAACTAAAATTTAATTGAAATTAAAAATAAAATAATACAATATAAAATAAAATAAATTGGAACAAAATCAAATGAAAAATCAAATAAAAATTACAAATAGAAAATAGAAAATAATAAAAAAAAAACAAAAAAAAACATGAGTATAATGAGATACATAATAATATCAAATAAAGTAAACTATATGATATGAATCTGTACTATATAGTATAAGAAACATCGGTTTAGAGATTTGTAAAAATACCTTGAAAATTTTTCTCACGTATTACGATCGGCTCTGATATTTTAAGACAGTCAGCCTTTTCATGACTCATTTTCGCCCGAAATCGGTCACTTTTCACTCTTCGCTTATGTGTGCACAACGGGCGGATGAAAAGATTTCGGGTGAATTTGTTTACGGGTGAAACTCGGAATAATGCTAAAAATATCTTTAAAATAAATTAAAAATTTTTCTGTTTATTTTATGTCAGATTCATTGAGAACTGGTCTAATGGTAACGCTTCTAATACAATGGATTGTTCCAATCCAACAGGTAATTGCAAAGGATATTTTATTTGCTTTTAGATTTGTCTATATAAGAATTTGTGTCTCAAATTTTCGAAAAAGTCATGCTTCCTCATACCTAACCTAAAAAGAACTGCTTCATGCTTGAAATACAATACCGGCGAACGGCAAACTTCGCCGAATTGGGCGATGCTGTCGTTCACCGTTCGCCCAACTATTTCGCCTACTTAAACAGAATTAGAGCGGTAGCGAAAACAGCTGATCCCATTTGGTCGCCTTTATAATTTGGGTGACCATATTTAGAAAAAACTAAACCATATTTAGAAATGAGGAAATGATAACAAATATAAATGTAAAACAAAGAAAGATTATTATAAATAATTTGTTTCAAGCCAGATTTAACGAATCCACAACTATATTTTTCAAACAACAAAAAAAAANCTAATTTTGACAGCGCGAATTTCGCTGTGGTGAGTTCGCCGTTCGCCGGCATTGTATTTCAGCTATCAGTATATCGTTAAACTTTAAAACTTAACTTGGTATACTATTCGGTGCAAATCGATGGCTCAACTTATGATTACAATTATAAAGTATGAAGAATTTAATTAAAATCGAGCTTAGACTGTATTGAAAACTTTTATCCAAACCCAAATACATTTATGTTATGATAGCTTCTATTTTTTATTTTATTAAAATATTTAATTTCTGTTTCCCAGTCCCAAATTTTTTTGTGTGTTTTATTTAAAAATTTATAAATTATGAGTAATTTTCAATAACTTAAAAATAGTAAAAATAGTAACTAGGTCGTGTGTGTATTTCCGGCGTATAGGCGCTTAAAAGTACATAGATACATTGTAAATAATTTAGCACATAAGAC